TCGACAGAGAGGTGTGACCAGGGCCGTTTGGCAAGGCAGTAGCTCCTCGCCACCCCCTAGTGGCTTGGTGGACCAACTGAGACCTTGCTACATAGACCTTGCACTTTTTAAAGATCTTTTTAAGACTGAACTATAACTCACAGAGATGATTAGAAATTTGGTAGATGAGACCTCTTTCAGTTGGTCAATTCACAAGCCAATATTTCATTAAGTTTATAGTTATTTTAGTCATTCTTATAGCTTTTGTGCAAATCTAGGATGAGATTTTTCAGAAGTGCTCAGCGTTGGCCTAACTGTTCCCAGGGAAGTCAATGGTAAAATTCATGTGAACTTCAATGGAAGTAGATTTAGACCCACATTGAGTATTCTTGAAAAATCCCACCCTTGGTGTATATCTCTTTTTACAAAAGATAGCTCTTTGGATCACTAGTTACATAATTTGGAACAAAACACAGATTGGGGGGAGGGAGTGTTAAGCTATTAAATTGATAGTCATTTGGGGGAAATCAAGTTTAGCAGGGGCAAATGTTTCAACAGTTAAAGCATTACATTAATTTATGGAAAGCATGTTTAACAATTTTGTCGCTCTGGGATTATTTAATTATACATACAAACATGAGAATTACTACCATATCATTAACTGCTGAGCACTACACGGGTGTGGAAATAGGAAGTTCCCATGACAGAGGGCCTGAATGAAGTCAATGGCAAACCATCTATTGACTTCAGTAGAAGCAGAATCAGGCACAGACTTTGTAAGATTGTATGGCTGGTTGTAAGATTGTATCACTGAGGGCTGGTTTAATCATAAAACATACAGAGGTGCCATCTCTCTCTGTTATCCTCATGATTTTAGTGTATTGTTTTAAAAGATGATGATGATCTCAGGATAAGCTTGGACTGTCTTGTGAGTTCTCTCTGTTTAAAATCACCACATGCCCCCATGGGTACCCTCACCCCAATGGCCATCACTTCCTTAGATCCTTTGGTGCTGGAAATGAGCCTGGCTCTAGAAAAGATGGCTACTATCTTCCATTGTCTCCAAAGGGACTGAAGCCAGGCTTTCTTTAATGGAAGTTACTGCCCCCATTTACCGAGTATAGTCCAGGCAGGAGACAGTGAAGGGACAGTGAAATGTGGCCAACAGGTAGGGACTGTGGGGGCAGACAGACTGAGGACCAAGGGAATGTCAGGATAGAGAGATTGGGGAGGGAAGACAAGAAACTGAAGAGGAAAGGAAGGGAGAATGGGGGGAAGAGATGGAGACCATGGGAAGTTGAAGAATGTAGGTGAGCAAAAGACTGGAAGGAACAGAGAGGATGTTAGGGGCATATGAATTGAATGCCTGGGAGGGGGATGAGAATGAGATGGCAGGGAAAGGAGTTATGGGAAAAAAGCTATGAAGGGAAGTGACTATAATGATGGGGAAAAGATAGGGCAGAGCAGGGAGGTGGTAGTGGTAGAAAGGATAGAATGGCAAATCCACCCACCTAGCGGTGCAGAAAGAGTAATTGGAGTGCCCCTGAAAACACTTGGGGTGAGGCCTTCATTTTTCAACCTTAAATGATCTCACCGCCCCCCCCCCCACAGGTTCAAAAATCAGGAGACTGGCCAAAAACTCTATTTAAAAACAAACAAACCTCATGAGAGGTGACCATCGTGCTAACTCCAAAAGTTCAAAAATTGAGCCAGACTCCAAAAATCACAATTAAAGAAAAAAAATCTGAATTCCTCCTGCCCGTCCCCAGTGTGTGTGAGACAATTAGTGTTGCCTGTAATTGATTGATTGAATTATGTGCCCCCCCAATTAATTACGTAACCCCCAAATTGGCCTGTTCCTCCATCTTCACCCATGCTCCTGTGGTTCTTCACAAACATACAACCCAGGCAAGTAGGGGAGACAGGTGCAGCAGGGTCACTTCTTCTGCATCCCGGGCTCGGGTGGGAGACAAGCTCCAGGAGTTCTTCACCCTTTCCCTGGGCTAGTGTTGCTGGGATCAACAGGAGAAGCCGAGAGCTGACTGACCCACTATTCACTTGAGGGGATGGAGGAGTAGGGCTTTGCAGAACTCTTTCTGCTCCCCTCCTGTGAGAAAGCTGTTGGCTATTCCCTCTCCCCCTGCCCCAATGTCCCTGAGGGGAGGGGGAATCTGCCTGCTTCCTGTAGTATCACTGATTGGTGGCTTTTCTGAGGAGGCGGGAAGGTGGGGAATACAACAAAGCAAAGGGGATTTCCACAGGCAGGGATGAAATTCAGGAGAGATCAGGAGCTTCTGGCTTCACGGGGGGACTAGCCTTAGCCTCCAGTACCAACCACACTCATGTAACTCCCCAAGAAATCCTGAGAGTTGGCAACATTGGCATGAGAAGCATCCACAGCTTCCAGTGACTTCTTTTTAAAATAGCAAGGTGTACTGGTGCCTAGGGAAACTGAAAGATGTGATAGTGCTTTTGTTTGTTTATATTTAAAATGCAGCCTCTGATCTTCTTTATGTTACACTGATGGGTTCTTGAAATTCGTGTATTTCCCGAGCCTTGTGCTTGGCTTTAGGAAATCTGCAGAAGCTAGGGCCCATCTGCACAGCTCTCAGCTTAATGGCTTTTGCAGGGTTAATGGAAAATGAGAGCTGGCACTTTCCACTTCTATGCCCTTTCACTCCAGATCCTCTCTTTTTACTTCCATCTACTTTAAAAATGTAATTGGCCCTTAAGCAGTGACAGTTACAACTAATAGTGGTTTCATATTTAAGGAAACAGAAGTGAATGCTAATTTTTGGTTGGTAGGAAGGCAGTGAACCCAAAGCACATTCATCCCTGCTGCATGTTGCTTCCATCTAATCTATCTGTGTAAGATTTTATAAGGTCACCCCTCACCCTGGCATCTAAGTGCTTCTATCCAATGTCCTGAAGGGTAGCCCTGCATTTTGAAGCACTTGAAGGAGAGGAAGGTGATCAGGAACAGTGAACATGGATTCACCAAGGGCAAGTCATGCCTGATCAACCTGATTGCCTTCTATGATGAGATAACTGGCTCTGTGAATATGGGGAAAGCGGTGGATGTGATATACCTTGACTTTAGCAAAGCTTTTGATACGGTCTCCCACAGTATTCTTGCCAGCAAGTTAAAGAAGAATGGATTGGATAAATGGACTATACGGTGGATGGAAAGCTGGCTAGATCGTTGGGCTTAATGGGTAGTGATCAATGGCTCAATATCTAGCTGGCAGCCAGTATCAAGCGGAGTGTCCCAGGGGTCGGTCCTGGGGCCGGTTTTGTTCAACATCTTCATTAATAATCTGGAGGGTGGGATGCATTGCACCCTCAGCAAGTTCGTGGATGATGCTAAATTGGGGGAGAGATAGATATGCTGGAGGGTAGGGGTAGGTCCAGAGTGACCTAAACAAATTGGAGGATTGGTCCAAAAGAATTCTGATGAGGTTCAACAAGGACAAGTGCAGAGTCCTGCACTTAGGACAGAAGAATCCCATGCACTGCTACAGGCTGGGGACCGACTGGCTAAGCTGCAGTTCTGCAGAAAAGGACCTAGGAGTTATAGTGGATGAGAAGCTGGATATGTGTCACAATGTGCCCTTGTTGCCAAGAGGGCTAACGACACACTGGGCTGCATTACTAGGAGCATTGCCAGCAAATGGATGGAAGTGATTATTCCCCTCTATTCAGCACTGGTGAGGCCACATCCGGAGTACTGCATCCAGTTTTGGGCCCCCCACTACAGAAAGGATGTGGCCAAACTGGAGAGAGTCCAGCAGAGGGCAACGAAAATGATTACGGGGCTGAGGCACATGACTTATGAGGAGGGGCTGAGGGAACTGGGCTTATTCAGTCTGCAGAAGAGAAGAGTGTGTGTGCGTGTGTGTGTGGGGGGGTTTGATAGCAGCCTCAACTACCTGAACGGGGGTTCCAAAGGGGATGGAGCTAGGCTGTTCTGAGTGGTGGTAGAAGACAGAACAAGGTCTCAAGTTGCAGTGGGGGAGGTCTAGGCTGGCTATTAGGAAAAACTATTTCACTAGGAGGGTGGTGAAGCACTGAAATGGGTTACCTAGGGAGGTGGTGGAATCTCCATCCTTAGAGGTTTTTAAGGTCTGGCTTGGCAAAATCCTGGCTAGGATGATTTAGTTGGGGTTGGTCCTACTTTGAGCAGGGGATTGGACTAGATGACCTCCTGAGATCTCTTCCAACCCCAATCTTCTATGATTCTACATCCAGACAATAAGCCGGTAAGTCCAAAGTAAGTTTACAGGACCAATCTCACTTCTGTTGTTTGCATATGCACACACACTTATATCTGTTGAGTGAGTCGTAAGAAATTATGGTTCATCCATTTAGAAAGAAGAATATTCCCTAGTGGAATGACTATGTGGAAGCCAATATGGCACGACTAACAAAATAATTATTAGAAAGACAAGGTGAGTAAGGTAATATCTTTTATTGGACTAACTTCTGTGTGTGAAAGAGACAAGCTTTTGAGCTCATAGAGAGCTCTTCTTCAGGGTCTGGGCCAGATCTTCTCGAGACCCTGAGGAAGAGCTCTGGATAAGCGCCAAAGCTTCTCTCTCTTACCCACAGAAGTTGGTCCAATAAAAGATATTACCTCATCCACCTTGTCTTTCTAACAACCTGGGCCCAACACTGAATAAAATAACTACACCGCATTTAATGTTTAAAATAACAAGAAACAGAGGGCAAAGAGTCCTGTGGCACCTTATAGACTAACAGGCGTATTGGAGCATAAGCTTTCTGTTAGTCTGTAAGGTGCCACAGGCCTCTTTGTGGCTTTTACAGAGCCAGCCTAACACCCTCTGATAAGAAACAGAAGATTATTCCTCCTCCTCTTCTCCCTACTCCCCTACACACAGAGACACTTCCAGGAAAACCCAAAGTAAAGTAGGACTATATTACAACACTACAATCCCCACAATGCATTTAGGCAGTTCAGGGGCTGCCAGACAGAAAGTGACCATGCAGGCACTGAGCATGAGCAAGCGCTTGTCTGAGAGCGGCGCTGGGCGCTCCGGGACTGGACATAAACAAGAGAGCAAGCGCAGGGCTGGGCGCGCTTGCTGCTGCCCTTTTAAACCCACTTTGCGAGAGCAGCTGGCCGGGCCGGAGGAGCTCGTGCTCGCTGCGGCGCGCGCCTGGGGAGGGGTGAAGTTGTGAGGTTCCACGGGTGGGCGGAGACAGAACGCGGAGACCCTGCGAAGCGGCGGCACGAGGGGGAGGAGCCCAGGCAGGGAGCTGCGGCTGCTGCGGAGTCCTAGGACCAGCCGCGGCGACGGGCGGCAGGTGAGGCGTTGGGCGTGAGACCCGGCCAGCGCGGTGTGCGGCGGGGCACAGACCAGCGGGCGGCGCTTGTTTCAGACCTGGGCTTGTTTTCGAGGGAGCGCAGCGGCCCCGCCGTTCTCTGCTGTGTGGACACGGAGGCATGCTCTGTGTGCTAGGCTGGGACTGGGAAACCAGGATCTCAAATATCGGCCAGGTTTGGGGGGCAGTGTCGGGCTTCGGTTGCTGTTTCTTGCAACTGCAAGGAGCTTCCGAAGTATAGGCAGCGTATATAATTCGCAAAAAGAAAAGGAGGACTTGTGGCACCTTGTGCTCAAATAAATGGGTTAGTCTCTAAGGTGACACAAGTCCTCCTTTTCTTTTTGCGAATACAGACTAACACGGCTGCTACTCTGAAACCTATATAATTTGAGAGGAAAAATGGAAAGAAATTCGAAAGGGGGGGGGGGGGACTGGAAACTTCCCGGGATATGGAGATTAGGTATGGGTGATTTGTCCCCATCTGTACATTGGGAATAATGATACTAGTCATCTTTTAAATTTCAAAGTGCTTTACAGAGAAGCTAAGTGCTATCTAAGAGTTAGGTATTGCTGTTATTCCCTTTCTTATCACTGTCACATATGTCTGTCACAACTTAGTGCTTTCCCTCTTGAAAGCACTTTAAAACTGGGACAAATTTTCAGAATTCAAGCACTGCTCCTGAGCTGGTCATGAGGCAGGAGAAGTTGATTACATTATGATACCAAACCATTGCTTAGTTCCCTATTGCAATGTTTATGTCCTAAAAATTTAAGTCCCTTGCCCCGCAATGGTGCCACGCCTTTAAGCCGATCCACATGGACAGCTCTCTGTGTCTGTTCATAGGGCCATTAACTTTGAGATTTTTTTTAAACTTTGGGGGGTAGTGGAAGAAAGCCAGCACTGAACAGAGCAAGGCCCAGTCCTTGAACCACTAGTGCCTCCTTAAACCTTTCTCCTTTGACTCCCTGGATGAAAGGTTGGTATTAAACAAAAATGACATTGAGGGTTGTTTGTAAAGCTGGTTGGGAATATTTCAGTGAAATGTCCCCCTCTCCCCCATTAAAATAGGTCACTCAATGAAGTGTTTGTTGGGAAAGTTTTCAGGTCTTTGATGGAATTCCTAGGGTGTGGGTAAGAGACCTGATTAGCCAACAGCATTAGGGTTACAGCACTCATAGGGGATGTGGAAGGCTCCAAGTTCAGGTCCCAAGTTCAAGTCCCACATCCTCAGCAAGTGCCCTAACCATCAGTCACACTCTCTTTATATAAGTAACTATATAGGCACTGAGGTAGAAAGAGACTGACTCTGCAGACTGGTGATTAGGGAAGTTGCCTGGGATTTCAGAGACCCAGGTTAAAGTCTCTGCTCTATCGGAATTGGAGTTAAGTACCTAGGTGCTTTAGAAAATTCCATTAGATGCCTATCTGTGTCTTTAGGTGTCTAAATATCTTTGTAAATCAGGCCCTTCATGGTTATGGAGGCTGAATTATCCCATCACTTTAGTGGGGTGGCTTTCTGTATCACAGGTGATGTATGATGACTAAACATTATGGCAAAGTTCGTATTGCTGCTGCCTCTTGTGTACCTGTTTGTTTGATAATCCTGGAGAATCAAATCCAGGGTTATCTGTCTGGTACCTTACATGAACACTAAATTCACTACCTTCTCCCCCCACTTCAGTTAACACACACTACTCCACTCGTATTTACATTGTTCTATTAATATATAATGGCTGCCATTAAAAAGGCAGCAATTGCCAAAAGACAAAATACACATTTGTTATCTAGTTTCGTACACTGCTGCCCGTAACTGCAGTATCTGAGCATCTGATAATAGCAAGGGATAATGTTAGAATATTAAATACCACAGTGAGATTACTATTGACAACATAATGTACAGTAGTTGGCATTTATCTATTAGTAAAGTGATGGGAGAGAACATTTAGATATGTGCTCTAATTTTAAGATTGCAGGATGCTATTTTACATTTCTACCCGATCTTGGTATGTTTGGAAATCAGGGTTTCAACCTGTGCCCATTGAAGTCACTGGTAAAGCTCCCATTGACTTCAGTGGTGCAAAAGTGCAATACCCCCCAACCAACACACTAGCAATTGACCTGGGAGACTGCAGAGCTAAAAGCGTGAGCTGCTACAGTTGCACTGTAGAGTCAGGGCTCTCTAGCAGGGGCTGAAATAGCTCAGTTTCTCTGTGGATCAAGCATTGTGGGGACCTGTAACATGCACTCACCAGTGAGTTACACAAGATTAGCTCCAAACTGTAAACACTTATGTACATGCCTAGGCTGGTGTGAGTAGTGTCGTTGATGTCAATGGGGCTACTCTTATGCTTCAAGTTAAACATATTGTTTGCAAGATTTCTTAGTATCCTCGCCATCATTTTCATTGGCATACAGTAGCAATATTTTTTGTATGTCGGAAACCAGCCTCATTATTTATTGCTGCAAAAGCAAATCTGATGGGTTTATACCTTCAGGGTGGCAGTTCTACTTGGATACCCCAGTGCTTGTTTTAATTAGCCATCATTGGGGCCAGAGTTCAACCTCCAATACTTGTAAAGTATGCCATGGACATACAATCTAGTTTCCTGTTTAATGTTTCGGGACTAATTATCTACAGTCATTCGCTGTTAAATAACAGTACTAAATGAGTTGGGTAACGAAATCGAAGTGTTTTTTCCAATTAAATTGTCTGACCTGTCAACTCACTTTTGACCTTGAGTTTCTTGTGATTCTATTGGCCCAGCTGCGAATTAGATTGTAGCAGGCTGCGCCCCCTACGCCCTCCACCCCCCCATTTGCAACCCCCACCAATATGAAACTATTGGGTTTTTTTTTAAGCTTTCTGAAACAGTTATGCTGGTTGATGTAGCCAGGGCATACATTTGTTCTCAGTGGCAGCAAACTAGACTCAGCATTTTCACAAATATTTATAACAAAGTTATGCCCTAGCCACACCAACCAACCTAAGTGTTTGCAGAAACTGCTTTTAAAACCCATGGGGCAGATCCTCAGCTGCTGTAAAATGTCGTAGCTCCATTGACTTCAATGGTTGTATCTAAAATGGTTTCCTAACATGAGGCATGTGAGTGTTTTTGGAGCCTAAATCTGTTTCAAAATCAGATGCTACAGGTGAGCTGAACTTCATAGAAAACATAAAAATTGCTCATCAGACAGAGTGGATACCACTGAGAGTGGATAAACACCAGAGCCTTGAAATCAGCGTGGGTGAGCTTACACCTGGAGTTTTCAAAGCGAGTTATTAGACAGTGCACAATCCTGTGTCAGACTGGCTTCACTTTCATAATTACTCTCTGAGTAGTACTGAATAGTCACTGCCACAGACATCAGGGTCTATTCTGTGATGTTTTTGGAGGATTTCTTCAATAGTTTCTCCATCAGCCCTGTTTAAATGAACCATTCTACTTTCATAGTGATACCTGCTGGTGCTTCTCTAGCTCAGAATCTTGTCCCTTTTTTTTTTGACTACACTAAAGATATATTGGGCAGAAATCATGTAACAGAGAAGTCACAAAATAACTATCAGAATCTTGTCTAAGCCCCGATCCCACAAAGACACATACACATGCTTAGCTTTTAGCATGAGTAATTCTGTTGAGTCCAGTGGCAATACTCACATGCATTAAGCATGTGTGTGTTTTTACAGGATTAGGGCATTAACAGGGATGTTGTGAAATGAAAGGTGGAAGGTATAACTCTGTCCTTGCATCTGCATATTGTAGGAATCTCATTTATAGGTACTGTTACATAAGAAAAGCTTTGATATCACTTACAGACAACAGGTAGGCTAATGATACATTTTTGTCCTAGTTATTAAATTCAATAGCTTTTAACAGTTTTAGGTCAAACTCTTAATTTATTTGAAGAATGTCTTGTATTTATATGTTCTTTCTACAGGGAAAAAGAGCAGTGGAAAGTTTCCCATTTCACTTCATTAATGAGACTTAGTTTTAAATTTGACCAAGGATTTAATTTTTGGGCCAAACCAAGATTTTTCTAACCTGAAAGCTCTAGATTAATGTTGCCACAATTATTGTTAAAATTCCAGTGGAAACAGTTGATTTTAAACATGTTAACATTTATCTGCATTGTTTGAAACCCTATAAATGCAACATGAAGCATCCCAAAGTGAAACGGACTTCATTGATTTGTTCTACAAAGGAAATGGATGCAATGAAGAGAGAAAAAAACTAATAAGCAAATTGGATTTTAAAATTCTTTCACTTTCAATCACCAAAGGTTGTTACAACAGTACAGAATTCTATCTGTTTATAATACATGATTTTTAAATTGACAGTATTCCTTTAATATGTATCTTCCGTGATCTGGAGGGACCACTGAGTATTTTAGCCTCTGGCCAGATTCTCCTTGATCTATACTAGATGCAGGAAGAGTTTGGCAGCAAATGCATCTTTAAGCCACCTTTGATCTTTTTACTTTCTCATTTCCCAGGTGTAAATTAGAGCAGTCTCAGAGCTGCTCTAATCTGTGCTTTGCTGCAGCATCCCCCGACAGTCCATTCCACATCTGAGAATAGCCAGAGATGGTTCTAGCCACACCCCACTATCTACACCAGAGAGAGTAAGGCGGGGGAGCAGAGGGAGGGCACAGGGCTATCTGAGGACTTTCTTTAAAATTAAGGCTAGTTCCCATAACCTGTTTGTGCTGCGTTTACAGGCCCTTTATGTTGCCAGAGTGGCATAAATGGGCCACATGGAACACAGAACTTGGGACCATTCAGTCTTCCGCCTCTGAGCCTGCTGCTAAGGGTGCCAATTGTGATAGGGCACTCTGGGGATTGGACCTTGACAGTCAGCTCATTTCACATACTAAAAGACTCTTTGCATTACTAATCTCGGGAGTCATCCCATCCATTCTCTCTCTCCTCTTAAAGAAGCCTGTTCTCTCACATGAATTCAATGCAGTACTTCACAGGAGAGACCTTTTTATCTCCCTCTTTACTTGTGAAATGGGTGCACTTTACTTAACAGCAGTAGCAGCCTTTACAACTGAAGGAACACTTTAGAAAAAGAAGAAAATAGCTATCTATTTATAATGCATAGACATGCTCAAGCCAGATGCTGAAAATTCCGTGGGAGATTTGCTGTTGACTTGCATGGTTCAGGTTCTAAGTTTTGGAGTGAAATTTGTACATTTTGTGACAGGGTCAGGCCAGATGGCTACAGGAGAGTGTTTTTTGAGCATGAATGCAGTCCCCCACTACCACAAATTATACAGTCAAGTTTCCCGCATTTGGGGAAATCGCAGGGGTCAACACACCTGCAGTGCAATGGTTGAGCCTCACCCTGGGAAAACCACCTTCATGATCATGGTGTCTCCCCTGCCAGGTAAGAGTGTTAGAAGGCAGATATATTAGTCCCAGATTAAGCAGGTCCATTTTCCCTGGGTAAGGTAACGGGGCAGTTCCAGAACAAGAAGGAACTTGCTGGAACAAATGCAGGCAGGCTAATTAGGACATCTGGAGCCAATTAAGAAGCTGCTAGAATCAATTAGGGGAGGCTGGCTAATCAGGGCACCTGAGTTTAAAAAGGACCTCATTTCAGTTTGTGGCATGCATGTGAGGAGCTTGGAGCAAGAAGCACTATGAGTTGAGAATGAGAAGGCATACTGCTGGAGAACTGAGTAGTACAAGCATTATCAGGTACCAGGAGGAAGATCCTGTGGTGAGGATAAAGAAGGTGTTGGAGGAGGCCATGGGGAAGTAGCCCAGGGAGTTGCTGTCGCACAGATGTTCCAGGAGGCACTCCAGACAACTGCAGTCCACAGGGCCCTGGGCTGAAACCTGGAGTAGAGGGTGGGCCCGGGTTCCCCCCAAACCTCCCAACTCCTGGTCAGACACAGGAGGAGTTGACCTGGACTGTGGGTTCCACCAGAGGGGAAGGTCTCTGGGCTGTTCCCTGACCCACATGGTGGATCAGCAGAGGTTGCGGGGATTGTTGTTCTTCCTTTTTCCAATGCTGGCCAGTGATGAGGTTAGCTGAGTGAACGGCAGGTTTGAGCCACTAGCAAAAGTGTCCAAATTGAGGGCTGCTGTGAATCTCTGAGGCAAGCAAATCTGCCAATAAGGGCAGGACCCACCAAGGCAGAGGAGGAACTTTGTCACAATTTGTATGTAGGTAATAAACCTCCCCCCACCTCAAAACTGTATTTATTTCATAGTCAGTGTTGCTTTCAAAAGCCTTCTTAGAACTTTAAAGTGCAGTTCTGTTCTGAAAAGTGATTGCTAAAATGGTACCACCTTATTCATCGGTTCTGCTCGCTGTGTGTAGTCGACGATATCTGTTTGCTTTCGTGAATAAAATACTCTTTACTCCTATTAGCCTTGCAGAGCCAACACAACTGAGGGTGGTAGCTGGATTCTGTTCCTCCTTTCGCACCATCAACAGAATTGTTAGCGAAGCTCCAGTCAGTTTTATCTGGGTGCAGCCATGGAAGGCAACAGGGTTACATTAATCTTGCTGTTGATGTGAGATTTTGGCACTGCTCAGGCTATGATTTTAGTGCACTTTTTTTTTTTTAAGTAAATTTCACAGCAGAGGTTCAGGGGGAAAAAAAAACTCAGGAGCAGTTTTTTTTTGTGGGTGGGGCAGGGGGGAAGGTTCACCGTGAGATCACTCCACAGCAGCAGCTCCAGTTTGTGCAGGGCTGGTACCAGCTCCCCACTCTTGGCATTACATTTAGTGCACACATGGTCGCAGTGCCACTGAGGTTTGGCGAGTCTGCCCCCCAGCTTCATCTATGAAGGGTGGATAGGGCAGACCTAAGTGGCCTTGGAACCACATATGCCAAGTCACAGTGCCTGGAGCAGGGTGCCGGGACCAACCTCACGGGAGAAGAGCCGCTACTGCGGGTTGAGCACAGGGTGGATTTATCATGGACTTTATTCAAATACGAGTACATGATTACCATGAACACTGTGACATCTGTGCCAAAATTGTAGCCTGAGTCATGGCCAATGTAGCATTAACCTGTTACAGAAGCCTGCGTTGCTGTTGACACAGCAATGTGTTGCAGTCCTTCTGAATTGCTGTTGGAGCCTGCTGGCGATATTCGTATGGAAAATAGTGGCAGCTTTAATACAATGCATGTGTACGAACATATCCAGAACCGCAGAGCTACCTCTGGACCTGACACCTCAGGCCTGCACACTGCAATGAGTTCTGTGTGGTTGGCCCCAGCACATGCATGGATCCCTAATGATAGGCCCTGATGGCACTCCATGTGGGTGCAGGAGTCTGGCTGCACAGAGCTGGCTGTAGAGCTGTGGTCAAGAGCAGTAAGAAACCTGTGGCTAGGTGGGATAAAGCTAACATCCCGCTGTTGCTAGCGTCTCTTAAGTAGTGTGGCGATTTTCTTTATGTAACTTCCTTTTCTTGGGATAGCAGGAGGAAATGCACCTAGTCATTAAGAGGTACAGATTGTGTTGGTGGGGGAGGAGCAGAAGTTAGCATGAGTCTCTCTTATTCTATCATGGATCAGGTAAAGAGGAAAACAAAGTGATTCTGATTTAATTTTTTTTCCTCTGCAAAAATTTTGAAAATGGGATGGACACCACCCAGTGCCCTCTGGCAGAATTTGCAGATGTCACTTTCACTCTTTGATTTATTGTCTGTCAGGCTGTATTGTATGTTCAAGTAATTTTTTTCATTTGTAACCGCTTTTGACAACTCTGAACTGATCCCGATCTGATATCGGGGCAGTCGGCCTTAAAAACATACTTTTATTTACAGGATTTTATTGGTGGTGCTTGAAATTGGGTGCTCAAAGTAGCCTTTTTCTTGTTTTAAGATGGTGAGCAGGTGTGTTGTTCTTGTATGCAGCAGGTAGAATTGCTAAAATTTAAGAATAAGGATGCTCTTATGGTTAAGGAACTGGAGTGGTGCTTAGAAGACCTGGGTTCAATTCCTGGCTCTGTCACAAACTTACTTTTTTGATCTTGGGCAAGTCACTTAATATTTCTGTGCCTTAGTTCTCCATTTCAAAAATGGTTACAATAATACTCCCTTTGTCTATTTAGATTGTAAAGCTGGCAAAAAAAGAGAGGGGGGAAAAAAGACCTTGCAGAAAGGGAGCCTCAAGGTGCTACTATAATACAGATTCTAAAGAATAGTTGTAATACCAATTCATAAAACAGGATTATATGTACAAAAGTGATTGGCCCCTTAGATATTCTTCTTGCTAGCTTAATAACCAAATAATTAAAGCAAGTTTTGTAGCTATGCAGAAATACATAGTATAAGTCTTAATGCATTCACAAAGCTAAGGCTGTGCTTTGTAAACCTGAAGAAGCTAAACACGCTGCAGACAAGTTAATTTTTTTTCGTTGGATGTTTTCTGCGCCATAAACTGAAGTTTTATGTAGCAATTATGCCACAATAACTCGATAAATTCCAAAACCTATTACTGTTCTTTGTCTTTTATTGATGAGGTCAACAAGGAAGTAATTATGTTTAAACTTTAATGCTTTTTGCTTTATATAACTCTTGGTAGAGAGTATAATAAGCTTATGTGTTGAGGTGGCGGATGGGGGCACAAATTGAGATGGGCCTGAGTTGCAAATTCAGATCCAGGCTCAAGTCCAGATTTTAAACTCTTTCATGCCTGAACCTCTAACATTTGGTTGTGCAGATCAAGTCTGGGCCTATCGCTTGTTCGATCTTAAACCGTTTTTATGATATTGGAGGCAGGAGGGCCAAAGTCTGACTTGTAATGCAAAGCTGGGAACAACCTTAATTATGAACTCACTACTACCACTCTAGAATGTATCGTGCAAAAGAAAAATTCAAGTTATAGGTGCTCTTTATTCATATTAAAGAAGCTATTGTTTATATTCTGGTGATTTCAGATGATACAAATGTACTTTATGAATGATTGTGAGCTGCCTGCATATTTTGGAAGCAAACTGGTCCTTTCTTAGGTGAATGAAGAGAGCTTCTCTGTGGTTCCTTGGGTATTGGCTACCATCAGAGTCAAGATATTAGACTTGATGGATCATTGTTCTAAGGAAAATACAGAGTCACATACTTCCCTCTGCCCCTAAACTCATGTCAGCAGGGATGGCACAGCTGCAAGGTCCTTGCTGGTCCCAAAAACTGGGGAAACGTTCTGTTGAGGCTTTGTGGATGCAAATGAAGATATCCAGAGGCAGCCACTGTTTTGGGGACTGCCCCTCTAGAAATCCATAGGGATTATGGGTGTAAAATAATGGTGAGGGAGGGCTGGAGTCCATTCAGGTATAGGCCTGGGCTCCAGGACCACACTACCTTTGGGGCTGAGGAAGACAAGAACCATCATAAAGGCATAAGGTCTCTTGGTAGATGGTGTTGGCTTGTGCTGGACTGAGAGCATGGCCCCTTTTCCTGTTTTGGTTGGGTGCAAAAACTAGCACCTTCAGCAAATGATTTGAAGGAAGTTCTATGAATGTGACCTTGCCATGTTTCCTGTCTGCTACTTGTGTATTTTCCCTGGAGGAAGGTCAAGTTGGCTTTCAGTTCATAAATAGATCAATAAATTAAATCTTGCCAGAGCTAGGAAGCTAGGGCAAGATCGCATATTGCCTATCCAGGCACGGGAGGCAATGCTATTTGGGAGGCATAGAATCCCATAGGAACAAGGCCAGCAAAGGAATGAGGCGGGATAAAGATGCAGTCCACTGTAACGCTATCTGGGAAGGGCAGGTTCTGGCATGAGCTCTCCATATGCAGACTCCACTTAACAGGCCACAGTATCTGTTGCAGCTGAGATGATTTTAAACATCTAGTGGTAGAGGGTGATCACTACCTTGACACGTTACCTTCTTTATTATAGGTAGTGGCATGTGCTGGAGGGATCTGCAGTGTGATTGACATTCTGTGGTGCTTCCTCTTGATTTTCTTCATGACAGGAGAGGAGGTGAGTGGGTGGAGGTTACTTGAGATGTCTGGTTGGAGGCAGAACATGATTTATTAGCGTTCATTTAGCTGAATGGATACACAGCATATATATTTTTTAGAAATTTGTGAAATAGGGTACTGTTGTATTTTATTGGCCACTAGCAATCACCTCTGTTGGCATAAAATCTTGGCACGTTGATACCTACATGAAGTTTATAATGTGTGTCCTATTTATAGTGTATTTACTATATAGCTAGCATGTCTAGTACAGATTTACTAAGACAGACAGGTATAAAGTTAATGTAGGATTTAACTCTGGACACCATGTGTTCTGTAGACATACTGGATCAAATTTATAGAATCACATGGATTTAATCTGGTCTGTTCTTTCTATATCACATTTAATAATGACCACTCATTTCACAGAGTATCTATAGCTTGGATTTTTCTTCTGCATTAGTACGGTATTTCTAAGTTGTGTGTCTTTTTGTTATGTGCATCTTCCCATTTCTGTTCCCCAGAATTGATGATGGTGTTCTGCAATTAGACTGTCAAAAATAAATAAATAAAAAGGTAGATGCTGATTCCTTCAGTCATGATGCTGTGAAACCTACTTCTTGATTTCTCCACAGTGTAGCAGCAAAGGGGGCTAGTATGGCAGTGCTGTACTTCATCACATTAAGGATGAAAAATTGTGTCCTAGACAGTTTACAGACATGTAAAAACACACATTCATGTCCTGAAGAATTTATGGTTTAAAGCACTGATCCAGAAAAGCATTTAATTTTGTACTTAATTTTAAACACAAGTGTAGCCCCATTGACATTGAATGGGACAACTCACATATGTAAAATTAAGCACATGTGTAAGTGCTTTGCTGGATCAGGGCCTGAGTGGTCAAAGGGAAGAGGAGAGGCATGCAAACCAATACTTTAGCAACAGGCTAGAATAGCATCTGCAGAGTGAGGGTGTGTTGGGAGTAAGGACCGGCAGCTAGTGTGCTTACCTGCTAGCTTAACCCGCAGGCAGTCTAACAAGCACAGCTGGGCTCCATTTGAACTACCTGATTGGCTGAGAGGAGTAGCAGACCTGCTCTTAAGATCAGCAGCACAGTACTGGCTGCTCAAAGTATTTGCCTACATCTATGATAGTTCCCGCCCCTGCTTGTTCCCAGCCCAGCTGTGCTCCTGTCTTGGTCCTGGTCCCAGTCCCACTCCAGCCTTGCCTCACTCCAGGTGACCTCCGCTCTGATTCCTGACTTTGGCTCCAGGATCTGGTGTCTGACTCTCTGGTTCTGACCCCGAGCTCTGACTCCGGGTGTGACTCTTGGTTCTGGCACCTGGCTACTGACTCCGGCTCTGACCGGTAGGCCTGAACACCCATGTCCCAATCCCTAACAGTTTACGCAACCTGCCAACAAAAATCCATCAGGAGAAAAGGAGTCCTGTTCTCTGCCATCCCAGGTTCCACCAAAACAAACCTCTCTGTCAGATAGTGTGTGCTGTACAGAACTTGCAGGGTCACGTTGCTGCCCTGAAGCTCCAACGCCGAACCAAAGAGTCCACTGCCAGATAAGTTCAACGGTGACCATGGCAAATTTTGTGGAGTCCTGCATCAGGGTTGGCTTCTGTTTCTCTTGCAACCACAAGCATTCCCCTCCAACCAAACCCAACTAGGAAGGACTTACCATCATCTTGCTGACTGGGAAGGCCCTGGTCAAGGCTCCCTGCTGGAGAAATCTAACCTGCTCCTGAGCCTGTTTGAAAACTTTGTGCAACTCTGGTGATAATCTTTGACCTGGACTGCACATACATAACAGAGGCTGTGCTTGAAGCATCATGGCAGGGGCACTCCTATCCATTGCCAAATTCACTGCAGAGTTTCTACATCTGGTAGCAGACACTGGGTGGAAGGAGGCTGCGCAGCATTATGACTTCTGGCTCGGACTCAATGAAGCAATCAAAGACTAGCTGGTGCAGGGGGTGTCTCAGCCTGGCCTGGATGATCTAATTGAACTGATCAATAACTGTCTGACGGAAACAACAAGAAGTCCTTGTGGCACCTTAGAGACTAATGAATTTATTTGGGCATAAGCTTTCGTGGGCTAGAACCCACTTCATCAGATGCCTGGAGTGGAAAATACAGGAGTAGGTATAAATACATGAAAAGATGTGAATTGCCTTACCAAGTGTGAGGTCAGTCTAACGAGACAATTCAATTGACAGCAGGATACCAAGGGAGGAAAAATAATTTTTGAAGTGGTAATGAGAGTGGCCCATTTCAGACAGTTGACAAAAAGGTGTGGGTAACAGTAGGGGGAAATTAGGTTTAGGTTTTATAATGACCCAACCATTCCCAGTCTTTATTCAGGCCTAATCTGTTGGTGTCCAGTTTGCAAATTAATTCCAGTTCTGCAGTTTCACATTGGAGTCTGTTTTTGAGGATTTGTTGTTGTTGTTGTTGTTGAAGAATTGCCACTTTCAGGTCTGTTGTTGAGTGACCAGGGAGATTGAAGTGTTCCGCTGAGAGCGAAACTTAGCCTCCTGTGCCTTGCTGGTTTCTTAGATCCCAGCTCACCAACTGCTGGCTTTGCCCCCTAGACTGAGCCCATGTAAATCAGCCCTGGCTTTCTGATGCTGAGAAAAATTGATGCCGAAGGGCAGATTTATGCCTGTACTGTGGAGAACCTGGACACTTTGCATCAAGCTGTCTTGCAATGGCTTGACCTGTGTCTCGGCTGGGAAAACATCAAGTCCCAGGCCCATTAGAGGGGACCGGGCTGGGTTGGTATCCTTCGAACAGCAGGATCCAATTGTGAGATGTGTTTGCTGGTACTCTGGCGATGGTTACCCAGAACCTAACACATCTCTGACTTTCCCTTCGACACCCCACATGTCTCAGGTCCACCTGGAAGCGCTGGTGGTTTTGGGTGCCTCCACTAATTTCATGGACTTGGAGTTTGTGCAAGTGCACATGATTGCCATCCAGCGAAAAAGCTCTCTAGACTTGGTGGACTTTGTTGATGGGTCACTTCTCTTGTTGGGCCCCACCAGACTGCCCCCCTTGGAGGTCACCGTCCTCCAGGGTCATCAAAACACCCTCCGGTTTGGGCTCATCCAAGCCCAATCCTCTCTGGTTATCCTCAGTGTAGGCTAGCTGGCTTGCTAGTCGCAGTTTGCATGTCCGTTGGCAGGCACACACAGTACACTTCAACTCCCTGCACTGTGGGCAATCTCGTCTCCCAAAGCCCAGCCATGGGCCAAAAGTCCGCTGCAGTTTAGTCTGCCTCCTCAGAGAATGCGAGTCTGAGGCTGTTAGGTCGCAGGGAATCTCAGAATCCCCTGTGTCACCTCCTACTACTTCTGTGATACCTGCTAAATACCAAGGATTTGTGGATATGCTCAATAAGAAGAATGCAGATGACCTTCAGCCGGGAGCCAAGATCCATTTTGGTGGCATCTACTCCCTCTCTGAGTATAGGCGCTCTAGAACTACCTTCAAGAGAACCTTCAGAAGCATTTCATCCATCAGATCTCTGTGGCTCTGTGTGGATTACAGGGTGTTAAACAAGGTTACCATCCAGAACCAGTATTGCCTACCCCTTATCAGCAAACTGTTTGAACTACTTCACTCTGCCAACCTCTTCATGAAGTTAGACCTCCCTAAAGTTTATAATCTGGTGTAGATTAGGAAAGTGGAAGACTGCCTTCTGTACCCAATATGGACATTTCTAATATCTGTTACCTCAGTTTCCCTAGAAACCAACCCAGGGTTACACTTATATTGTTTTTATTAAATGCCTCTGTTGGATCAAACAGAAAAGGGATGGGGCTTATTCATGCACGCACTCATTCATCGCATTCATACCCTCATGCACCCACACTCTCACAGGTGGAGAGTTACTGGAGACAGCAGAGGAAGCCGAAGCATAGTAGATCTGGTGTGTCTGCCTGCAGTCACAGATCCGGACTGGCAAACAGATCAAGAAGCAGGAGGCTTGTGTGCATGTCTTTTTCCGTTTTTTGGAAATGGGCGGTTCCTGTGACATGCACTGAGTTTCCCTTCTGTGTCTGTCACAGAGAAGCATTCCCAGGCCTCGTTTCTTTCATGCGTACCAGGAGGTTCTTTTCTTTACAGCACCCCATGTTTGCCTTCTCAGGGCAGATTACATCAGACTCACCTGTCTCTATTCTCCTTGCAGTTCCTCTCCGCCCAGTCCCCCCCCCCGTCCCCCCCCACCACCACACTCTCTCTGATTGCGTGATGGGGTTTGGCAAAGCTTGGAGGTTTATACAAGTGGTAACTGAAAAGGTTACAAAGCTTAAAAGGAACAATAACTAAAGTTACAAAGTTTGCAAAAGGTTACAGTACTTAATGATCATACTCGCAATGACTGAAAAGTTACAAACGTTACAATCACATTCCGCTGGATTGAGCAGAGGCTTTACATGACAATATCTAGTTATGTTGATTGGCCTGAGAGATGGTCTGGTGACCTTCCAGCACTTTATCAATATCTTCAGGGACATGCTAGACCATTTTGTAGTCATCTACCTTGATGGTATCCTCATCTTTTCGGAAGACCAGGATCTTCATGATCGTCCTGTACACAGCATCCTAGAGAGACTCTATCAGAACCATCTGTATAAGTTTGAGAAGTGCGAGTTTGACTGAGGTACAATTGAATTCCGTGGGTATGTATGTCTCCGAAAGGGCTAACCATGGATCTGTGCAACGTGGCGGTCGTATCTAACGAGGATACCCCGAAAGGCGTCCATGGGGTACAGCAAATCATGGGCTTTGCCAATTTTTATAAGCAATTTATCAAGGGTTTTTCTAGCTTAGTTGTCCCTATAACCACTCTTCTGCATTCACCTGGTCCCCAAAAGCCCAGTCCACCTTCAGGTAACTCAGAGAGAGTCACCATGACACCCATCCAGACCCCACAAAACCATGTATAGTAGAGACAGATGCATCAAACTTTTCCTATGGGCATAGTGTTGTCCCAGTCACTAGGGC